CGGGGCCGACGGGCCATGGAGAGCCCCACGGCTTCCGGATGAGGTGTCCCCAGGCGATGCGGTGGCGGCGACATCCGCCAACACGCTGGACTGGCTGCTGCGCACGCTGGATGCCCTGGGAACCCCGGCCTCAGAGAATGCCCTCACTAAGTGGGCCAGCGTTGCCATACAGGTGGGAAGTGTGGACTCCCTGTACGTTCTCCTCGATGCACGAGCGAACGTGGCTGGCGGGGCAAGCCACGGGGCCCTACTGGAGCAGGCAGTGCATATGCCACATCATGACGGAACACATATATCATCACCCTACTCCTCGCCGCGTCGGCCTCGCCCAGTGCGATAGAATTGGATGGCGACTTGCGCATGCTCGAGTACCTGTTCGTCAAGTATGCGGACTTACCGGTGCCCTTCCTTTGGCATATCGTTGATGCAAGGGCGGACACAACACTTCAGCAGCATCCCATTCTAGGTCTGTTATCGCCTCTGGGAGTTGCTGTGAGCACCCGAAGGGGCCTTGCTTGCAGCGTGCTACTTCAGCACTTCTGGCACCAGTTGTGACAGGGGCCGAAGGAAGGACTGCAGGGTTGCCTTGCTGACTTTGAGTGCGTTTGCACGCTGAGACGAGTACACAAGGGCCGACATGCTGTGTGTAGCTGAGTTAATGCCTACTTAATCAGTCGCTTAAATGGCTAGTGCGAGTCTTGCTCTGCGCTGAGGCTCTTCACTGTCGTTTGTTGCATCTTGGCTCTAGCTGTATCCCTAATGTCCATCTACTTCATGGAGGGTCCTCAATTCTGGGGTCCCCTCCTCATCTGGCATGGCTCTGCAGATTGAGGCCTTGCCGGAGCCAGACCCGGGCTTGCGGCTGGTCCTGACAGCGGGTATTCGACTGCGCCATGAACCAGCGGACGAATTGGTCAGCATGTGGTTCACGGTCGGCGCGGCTGCACTTGCCCGTTTGAGGCCTGTGCCCCTCCCAACGGCAAGGTGTGACCTCAAGGGCGGGCAGCGCGCGCTTCTCCATTTTCTCGAACCGTTTGTGGGGATCTCGTGGTGCATGATGTCCATCAGTGACGCTTATGGACGCCCATTGGACATTGGACATCACGGTGGCGGGCGTGAGGAACGCCCCAGTCCTTGTGATAGGAACCTGCGACCACAAGCGAATAGATATTCCTTGGGTGCAGGGCTGCATTAGGGAGGGCAGCTTGGATCTGGTTCAGTTCGTTTTCGGGCAAGGGATGAACTTGGGCAGCCTCATTTGGTGAGTGCCTCGACAACGTACCGGCGGCCTTCCCAGCGCTTCTGCGCCACAGGCTGAAGATGCCCGTTGATGGCCTCTTCTTGCCCGTTCTGAGATACTTCCTGCATGGACCGGCGCACCGAGAGCATGATCAGGAGAACGACAACTGGAGCCCAAACTACACAAGCCCTTGCGCCGCGCTTTCCAGGCGGCCCTGGAAGAGTCTGGCGCGCCCACAGGTGGGTGGTGGACCTGCTTTGGCCATGCACCAAGCCGTGGACCCCTGTTTTGTGCACACTGGTCGCGATGCACATGCTTCGGCTGGGATACTACCTACACTGGGGTGGCTCCGGGGCATGGGAGCTGACCCAGCGGCGCTTGCTACCAGAGCTTGCCATACCTACGTCGCCACCGGCTCTGACTCTGACCCTGCGCTGACCTCGCGGCATGTGGTCACACACCGCTGCGTCGGCCGCCTAGCAAGGGCAGGCACCGTCACAATCTACATGACAACTGGGCACACACACTGCTCTCACGAGGAGCCTGTGGCCTTAGGGGACCTCACGTATGCCGCCACCGTATTAGCGGGCCATCCCGCGAGCTGGGGGCGACTTGTGCCGATCGAAGAGACCGAGGCCTGTGTCGGGGACGATGATCGCCGAAGGTGCATTTACTTTGGTGATTTCGTCGCCACTCCCGGAAGACCCAAGCTTGGCGGAGCGGCAGTGGCTGATCCGCGACGCTCTACAGGAAGCCGACCATGGCTCGCTGGAGCGTACGCTGACGGTGGCCGGAGGGTTTGCGTCGTGCAGGATCTGGGGTCAGCACAGCAGCCCTCTGGCTTGGGCACTGGAGCATCACGCTGGTATCCTCGCTAGAGTGCTGAACGCGCTCTCGTCTCCAACGCTTTGTGGCGAAGGGGAGGACATCATAGATAGTCTGGAATTGGCGGCCCTCCGCGGCAACCCGAGCTGCTTGCTGTGTCGAACTTGCTCGCGATTGACCTGGTGAGCCTCCGTCATTGTAGTGGACAGCTATCGCTCGTCGCTCCTTGCGCTTCCATTGCCTCATTTCTCAATTGGGGTTCGTTGAACACAGGTACCTTGTGCACACTTTGCCTTGCGCCAACCTGGCTGCAGATCGCCGCAGTTGACCTTGGCTATTAGTTGCGCAGTGGCGACGGAACGCTCTGCTGAGCTTGCGGGTTTTCGAGACTTGGTTCGTCGTCAACCGAGTGAATCTCCGAGCTACTCTTGGAGCGGGATGCTTTCGGCATAGTTGTGTTCTCAATTCCTCGCTTTGTGCGTCACTATCGCTCCTTGCTTTCGCATTTTGCCACTGCCTATGACCTCGCCTCGGCGGTGGGATTACGGTTATCGGGCAGCATTCTTTGCACACGCTGCCTTGCGCCGTCACCGGCCCGCTACTTGCAATGGACTTTTGGACTTTAGTGTGCGCAGTGGCGATGGAACGGTCTCACGGGGACAGTCCGTTGTCCGACGGGACTAGAAAGGCTGTCGGAGCCTCGGCTTTGGACTCCACCCTTGTACCGGGCAGTTTGGGCGCCGGCCCTTTTCTGCTCCATTGCTGCTGCTGAGGCCGGCCGTAGTAAGGCAGTGAACTGAACGGCTGTTGTCGACTAAGTCTACTCGCCGCAGTTCTGTCTTGCGTAGGTACTTCAAACGGTCTCTGACTACGTTTCACCCTTTTACGTGAGTGATTTGTGTGTTTTGCCTCGATAGTTTGTGTAGTTTCGCTTAGGGACTGAGCGCTGCTGACGCAGTCAACGAAGCCCGCCCACGCCAAAAAAAAATCCCAGAGTGTGTGCTTAAGACGGGGGAGCGCACGCGTGCGCGCAGCTCCATGCCACACGCGCCTGTGCCACGCGATCACGCACACCATGCCAGGGCCTCACACTGCAGGGCCGGGTGTGCCTGGCAACATCTGCGGCCCGCACTTCAAGCTGCGCCACCTGTTACGTGGGCGCCTCGAGTGCGAGCTGCTGTCTGTGCTCTAGACGTGGCGCATCTTCTTGCGGCTCCAGGGCGTGCTCCACCGGCTCGCCTGTCTTCCACTGCCCCTGCAAAAAGATCAGGGGGCGGTGCGCGCACTCCTTGGAGCGCCGCAGAGCAAGAGGGCCGCGTTACGGATTCGGGACAGGAGTCGACGAGCCAATTCCGAAGACAGCACGGTTTTTCTGGAAGATGTCCGAGGCACCACGCACCTGCTCCTGCCACGTCGATGGGTGAAAAAGCTGGAAGAATACCACCGTTGGTGTGAAGTTTTGTCGTCATGGGTCGAAGCTTTGAGATTGTCCTCCAAGGCCGTGCTTACAAGAGGCCCCTTGACGTTGTCAGGTTTTTGGAGGATGAACTTGGCAAATGAGAAATTGCACCGTTTTTTCCAGAGCTGAAGCCGGGAACTTTAGACCGCCAGACCTGAGTTTGTGAAGAGTATATCCGTTTCTTTGAGGAACACCAGGCGACGCTTGGAGCTTTGAACGCTGTTGGCGACAAGGGCCTGTGTTGGAACTGGCAAAGCAGGCCAGTTGGCAATGTGGAAAAGGATTGGAGGCAGTGGTGCTTTCGGTCCGACGGAAAGGCAAAGGAAAAGGCAAGCAGAAGAAGCTGGTGGGCGATGGTCCAGAAAGATCGGTCCTGCCAAAGTTAAGCCAAGAGTTTTTGTCCGAGACACGTTTTCCTGAAGAGTTTGCTGCAGAGGTAGGTGTTGAAGCTGTGGTAGTGCCTGCAGTTTTGTGTGAAGTTGGTTGTGAGCGTTGTGCGGTAGGTTCTGAAGCCGTGTTTCGTCCACAGCCGTTTTGCTTAAGCAAGCAAGCACTACACACGACGAAGCAAGCCTGTTCGTTTGAGGGAGTGTATAAGAGTTTTTTAAGCTTCTTTAGGATGTTAGATGGTTTTGTGAAGCTTTGGTTTTGTGTACCATTCTCCGGGTTTCGGGTTTAGGGCTCAGGTTAGAGGTCTGCTATTCAACAGAACTATCGAAGAGTCCGTACAACGACAGACACTCCAACAACAAACCTTTAGGGGACACCCCGATACAAAGCCATGCCGGGAGGAAGCGACTTGAAGAATGTTGACATTGAATCATGGGTGGCCCGGCATGCTAAGCTCTAAGCTCTGCAGCCTCGGCCCGAAGCCTCGGCTCTCAGTCTTAAGCCCGAAAGCCTAAACCTAAGCCCTGGAGGCTCAGAGATGCCGCTTCCGGTGGGTGGGGATGAAGCCACCAGCATCAGATCCTGGATGAAGATCGAAGGCGCGTGCTCAACCGTTGCATGGTTCTGGAGATGCAAGCTTCTCACTCTCATTGCATGCTTCATTCTGTCAGCTGCAGTTTCTGGAAATGGTGAGAAGTCGCACTGTCCACCTACATATGGGCTGCTGTGTCATCGCATAGAATGTCGGCATCCAAGGCTAGAATATCAGCAGTGTCAAGTAGCCAGTGCTAGGTGCATAATTGGGACGTTGACCTCAGGACAGGTGCCATCTTCCGAGAGCGTTAGCGAGAAGCTGAGCATTCCAGATGAGCGGGGCTTCGTTGATCCCAGGTGCGAGTCGAAAGCATGTACATTGTACACTACTAAAAGACGATGTTCCTGGGTAGACTTGGAGTTTTATGCTATGTTCACATGCGACAGGACGTGTGCAGAATACTTGTTCAATCCGTGTTAGGCTTCGGCCCAAATGGCCTTTGGAGAAGTCGTCGGAGGCAGCTTTCCGGCTTTGGCGCGATTTACTCAGCCATGGCACGCCATGGACTGGCAGGGTCGCCGGGGATGTCCGAGCGGATTTTCAAGTTCATGGATGCAGACACAAGAAACGACGATGAAAGCCAGGCTTTCCAAGAGCTGCGAGACTTCATAATGCGCAAGGCAAAGTCCGACGTAGGATGCTTGAGCGATGGTGTCGATGTCAAGACCATGGTGGCATTTCTGCGCAGGCTCCATGATTTCGGAGGGCGGAAAACCACCCAGATCCGACGTATAGGCGAAGTTCTGAGCACACTGGAAAGCAACGCAGGTGGCCCATGGAGCGCACACATCAAAGAAGCTCGAGAGAAGATGTTCAGCCTCCCTACACCTGTCCCCCCAGGTTTCCGAGCACTTGTCGGGGCCTCTCACTTTCAAGGCGGCTGCCAGGCGAAGGATGTGACTGGCAAGTGCCGAGATGCAGAGTCTTCTGAGAGTGTTGTGAAAGACGAATTGACTTTTAGCCAGGAAGACACGCCTCAGCACCTTCTGCATTTGCATGAGGGCTTGCAGGAGCTTTTGTCGCTACTTCTCTTCGCAGAGAAGGATGACGACAGCCGCGCCAGGTTGAATGAGATCACAGCAGCATACAACATGGGCTGGAAGGAGATTCTGGAAGACAAAGACTTACATTATGTCTTCGGTGGCCTTGTTTCTACTGGCAAAACCACACTGGTAAACAGCTTCCTTGCCAACGTTTGTGCTGAGCAAGGGCCTCAAGCGGAATGGCAAGGCGACATGCTCCCAACCGCTGCGCTTGAAAACACTGCCGCCGTCACCATGTTTGCCTTTCGTGCGGCTCGCTCCAGCAAGATCAGTGTGCGTTTGGAGCATGTTTGCTTCATCGGGAGTCCTGATGAGCGCACTGCCAAGTTCCAATCTGCTTCTGATCAGCTGGATGGCGTGACTGAGATTGATACCATGCAGGTGCTGCAAGGCCGGATGCCAGAGCTGTTGGCACAGCTGTCTCGCGCTGACAGCGGCTTCAAGAGGCTTATTGTTGAGATGCCAGGCACGATGAAGGTCCTCCCTAAACCAGAAGACTTCTTCTTCACAGTTCCAGCTGAGGTCGTGGTGGATACACCCGGGCTGGATTCTCCTGGAATTCAACATCACCTCGTCTCTGTCCTGTCCCAGAAGTGCTTCCTCTTCTGCTTTCTTGTTGACGTGACCTCGCCATCGCCCTTTGGCAATCATGGGTTCGAGGTCTTGCAGTTTCTCAAACAAAAATCCGAGATGATGTTCCCCCCTGTGATTGTCTTCACAAAATGGGAGCTCATGAAGGAGCAAGCCACGTTGCGAAGCTGGAAGAGAGCGAACCCGAAAGGGCTTGAAGACCGCGTCAAAAACTTGGTAAGTGCATTGCTCAACAAATTGGATGAAGCTGAAATCCCTTACACTCCCTTCTTTGCCAGTGTGAACGCATTACTGGCAGGGGAGAGTGTCCAGGGCAGTGACCCTGACGAGTTCTATGACATTCGGGATGCACAAGCTGGGCTGTCTTGCTTCATCGAGGATCTCGTGAAGCTCGGAAGAAGCATCGCCAATCCGATCAACCAATGCAGAATGCTGCAGCTGCAGAACCAATGCACCCAAGAGATCATCAACTTGATCCACAGGGAAGATGGAGAAGCTCTGTTGTCAGCCGAGAGTATCAGCGACATGGAGGCTTTCGGACAGGCACTGAAAGACAGATTCCACAAAGACGTGGAGGATTACTTTCAGAACATTTGCTGGACCTCTTTCGGTCTTGCTTCATTCACGCCAAGTGCGCCGTTCAATCGAGAGACTTGTGCTATCACCCAGATCCCAAATGATTTCGAAGCCGTCTTCCAGCAGTACAAAAGCCACGAGCGGAATCAGCACATGCTGAGCAAATTCAAGGCGGTGCAAGACATCGTGCAACATACTTTGCTGAAAGTGCAGTCTAACATTGTGATGAATCTCAGCAAGTACGAGGCGAAAGCCATAGAATCATTCAAGAGAAAACTTTGGAAACATTTCGGGATGAAGGACAAGCATGTCAAAAAGCATCTCGATTTCGCATATTGGCAGTATGCCGTGGGAGCGGGTCTTGGTGGTGGATCGATCCTCGCAGGAATAGCTTCTGGCAATTGGGCTATCGCGTCTGGCATCAGTGCCTCCACCTATTTCACGGGTGCAGCGACCTGCATCGGCATGTCAGTGGCTGGTGCTGGTCTTTTGGTGATGATGACATGGTGGGGCAAAGATCAAATCGGGGGTTGGACCTGGGAGGGAGCGAAGACCGCTTCCTGGGATGCCGTAATGGAGGCGTGCCAGAAGAATTCTGGCAAGATAGGGGAGCACGTAACGAACACGTTCAACCGAAAGGTCGATGACATCATTCGAAAGATGAAAGAACATCGCATTGTCCCTAGCTCTGAGGTTCCACAGTCCAAAGCTGCGGTGATCCACAATCAGACCCGCAAAGGCTACCGCGATGTGGCGAAGCGCTTGAACGACATCTTGCAGAGCCGGAGGGACAGATGGCTTGGCCAGCCATGCGAGTTGAAGCAGATCTGCCAACAGGTGCTCGAGGAACGTGAGCCAGTGGAGCCTGTCGAGGCATGTTTGCGGATGCCTATGGATTGAGGCTTTTCAGCTCCCGGGGTTGCGAGGTAGATCTTGTATGCCGTTCGCTGAAGATATGAAGAATGGAGTCTTTCCCACGGCAGTCGTAGACGTGAATCTCATTGCCTGTAATGTCGAGCAAGGACGGTTCTCTACGACTCGCATGCTTGAATTGAAACGGTGTTTGCTACGTGCCGTGGGAAACAAAGACGACACAAGCTCTTCTTGCCATGTTGCAGGACAGATTGCGGCTTGGAGCTCTCAGAAACAATGCAGTAGCAAGCTGCCGCGAATGAATTGAGCTTTTTCGGTCTGTTCGCCTTGCTCACGTCATGTCGTCCGGATGAGGTGAAAACTGATCACGACAGACCGGCGCTGCAGCTGCATTCGGTCCGGTACTGGGAGCGCGCTGCCGCCAGAGGCTTGCGACTGGTGGTGGTCGCCCTTTCATGTGGCATGTAACTTTATATCTCCCATCGTGTGCAGTGCATGAATTTGAGGCTAGGGGGAGAAGTATGCCTGCGCTTCGAAAACTTCCAAACAGCATCTGTGTAGATGTTGGTCGGGTGATAGACTTCCTTTACTTGATCTGAAGTGGACTTGTGTCTGCAGGTTCGCAGCTCCTTGCATCAGAACAGGCGCGTACGGCTAAGAACTCAATGGTGAGATGCCCCCAAGCTTGTCAAGTTTAGCTTTTCATGTCCAAACGACCAACAAACAATCTGTAGTCCGTTATTCCTGTTTTGCGATCTTAGTGCGCAACACAAGCAGAACATTGAAAGTCATGTTTCATCAATAGCTTACATGACACCCATAACCCGCTATTGGTGAAGGTTCCCTTTGTTTCGATCTTGGTTTAGGGGCCCTTTGTTTGGCTGCTTTTACGGGATTTCAACTCATGTGTTTTATACTGTAGGTATTGACTTCAAGAGTTCGGAAAGAGGGGCCTCTGAAGCTGACCTTCCAGGGGATCTCTGCCGGCCTCTTCCTGGCTTAGATGACTAGACGTGTAGTATGATTACAGTACATATATATATATATATATATACATATATACATATGTATGTATATATATATATACATATGTATATATATATATACATATGTATTTCTCTCTGTATGTAACTATGTATGTATGCATGCATGCATGCACGCATGCATGCATGTGTAGATGTGTACATGTCTATATGCTTATGTTTATATGTTCATATGTGTATATGTGTATCTATGTACCTAGATATACACACATACACATATGTACACAATGTTCTTAGGAACACGTAGGTGCGCAGAGTACTTTAGATCAAGGTCCCAAAACCAAAACCAAGACGGCACTCTTTCTTATATTGACGACCTTTATGGGACCCTGGGGCCCAGGGTTGAAGGTTGAGGTTGGGGATCGAAGGAGATTCGTGTAGATGGCTCGTTCAGTTTTGAAAAGTTGTTGGGTTTAGGGGTTTGGGTTTCTGTAGTTGTACGTAACACGCCCTTCGTCAGTAGCCGTTGATCCTGGATTCGGCTTGGCCCGGAGGCTTGACAAGCAGTCGTGATGGCAAGCTGCTTTCTTCATGATGGAACACGGCAGCAGCGCCCCGGCCCAGGCGGACGGTGGGGTACTTACAGGTTCGTGCCTGTTGAACGTCACATTGCAAGGAAATCAGCCTACTTTACCACAATCGTAGAGCTCCGATTGCGAGGAAAATTTTGGGGCTAAAAGGCGGAAGATCGTTGCGTCCTACGCCCCTGAGCCCTGTCGATCTTTCGGTGTTGGCCCGAGGCTGTAGGCTCAACACCCTTTCGATTTTGAATCAGCTCCTATGTAGACGAGAATGCAATCACTCGGTCTCAGACTTTTGTCTGGATGCAATGAGCCAGTCTTGAGCCAATGCCAATTCGTAGGCATTGTGTCCGTGGGTCCAATATGAGCTGGAGAATGACAATGCAATCTAACACGGTCCCTTGATTGCGACGTGGTACGTCGGCAATCACAACTGTACGATCTCCGCTCATTTTGTGGTTCTACAATCGCACTAGAATAGCAACGAAACAAGAATTGAATCAATCAAGCATGAATCGAAACAATCTGGCAATCAATCTGACGGCTTGAAACGAAATGAAAAAACTAGTTTGGCAATCTCACTCTTTTTCAGTCAGAACTGAGCAATGTCTTGCAGTCACCCAATCTTCAACTATGTGCAATCATCATCCAGGAAACAATGTCTCCGTCGGTACATCGCAATCATAGAAGCAGATGGAATCAGCAATCAATCGGCAGTCTGCAGCGATTGTCCAGTGCTCAATCCGAGCATCATGTTGCCAATAGCTGTTGCAATTCCTGAGCAGAAAATCAAAATCAATACTGTGCTCAGCAAAATGCTGACAGGCTGGCTGTTGCAGCTCGAGCCGTGCCGCTGTGGGTTCTGCGGCCACCGTCGTTTTTCTTTCTGTTAGTGACCTTCAGCTCAGCTTTGTCAGTTCTGGCGTTTTCAGCAGACAGCCTCAGCTGGGCAACCTGGGAGTCTTCTTTTCGTCAAGTCTGCCTGGGCTGCTGCTTCTGCCTCGGGTGAAACTGCTGCCCCCAGTCCCCTGAAGGGACTGGTTCCTACTCCGACTCGTGAGGCCGTTGGCTTCTGGACCTGCAGGAAGGCCACTCTTGGCGCTCTATCGTTGCTCCCGCTCCGTGTTTTGCTTCTGCTCCAAAAACTCTGGCCAGCAGTGCTTGCCGCCCACTCCCCGCGGCCCTTCGAGCTTCAGTCTCGATTCACATCGGTCACGGCTCAGCAGCTGCGGAAGTGCTTTGCGGCTTTTTGAAGCTTCCTGTCTTTTGCTCCTGTCGTTGCTTGCGGGCATTCCTTTGGTTTGGCTCTTCGAGCCTGCGGGCTTCACATTTTCGCCATCGGGCTCCCTCGCTACCTGCGCCATCACGGCGGCCCAGAACCGCTATCCGCACCATCGTGGGTCCCTCGGACCAGCCTGGCAAAACGACCATAAGTGGCAAGCTGTCGAGCCTGGCGAGTGCCCTGTTCGAATCTGCTTTGGTTTCAGTCTGGAATTGGCCTTTCTTCGTCGCCGTGACTTTGATTGGCTTCTTGTCTGCACCTCTGAGTTCCTGTGCCTGCGGAGAGCTGATGTAAAATTCCATAGTAACGCCATGGCCTGCGACCGTGTTGCTTATATTCACTTGAGAAACCCAAAGACTGCGAGATTTGCTCACCGCCAACACTGCAGACTGGAGGACAAGGGCGTACTCTCTTTCCTGGAAGCTTTTTGAGAGAGCTGGACTCCGACAGACCGCTTTTCGCTGAGACCGCCAGCACGTACTGGACTCGGTAGAACGTTGTACTGAAGCACCTGGGAGTCCCTACACCAGGAACGCAAAAGGGCGCTACGCCAAGGGTCCTCAGAGGTTCCGGCACGACCTACTTGTACTTGGAGACGGACGACTTGAGTGAGGTCCAATGGAAGCATCTTGGAGGTGGAATGGGATAGCACCTCCAGAGCAACCTTTGCACATGTGAGCAAAAGCAATGCTCACTGTTGCTTGCAAGCGAACTTGGATGTGCATGTGGCAAGCTTTTCGGCCCACCCTCCGCTCCCGAAGGCTCGAGTGGCTGCCATCTTCGAGCCGCTTTTTGCGGTGCCGGCTACAACATGTAGCCACCTCCAAAGCAACCTTTGCACCTGTGAGCAAAAACAATGATGAGAAAAAGACGGCCGAGCAGCCAGCGCCATGGCGAGTGGGCAGCAGATTGAGCTGGGCGACCTGCTCACCAATAGCAAAGGCGGCCGCTTCCTGCCCCAGAGGCGCAGATGGCGCACCGCCGAGCTCGCAATCGCCGGAGTGGCTCAAGATCATTTGGCACCCCGCGACGTACGGTGACCAGGAGGCCCGCCGCGTGAACGTCTGCTTAGAGCCCGATGCCGCGGCGACGGACTTCTTCGCCGGCCTGGAGTGCGAGCTGGTGGAAAGCGTGGCCGCCAAATCCGCGTGCGAGCCCAAGATCTTCAACAAGACGCTGGCACGCCCGGAGATCGAGGCCGGGATGCAATCATGCCTCAAGACCTCGCAGCGGGGCAGCTCCTTCCTGAAGCTGAACGGGGACTGCGTGCGCTTCTGGGACGCCGAGGGCCAGCCGCTTGAGGGCCTTGGCGACTTGGCGGGCAGGCTGGCCAAGGTGCGCGTGGAGCTGCGGCAGGTCTGGCTCATGACCCCCCAGTGCGGCCTTCTTCTAGAAGTCACCGACTTGCAGCTGCGTGAGGCCGCGGCGCCACGGGCGGAATGCCCTTCTGAGGCGGCCGGGTGCTAGGAAACGGCCGGCAGAAGCCGGGCCCTCCCGGACAGCGTGCTTTTCGCGGCAGGGGCTCTTACAGCAGCCGCCGAATTCGTTTGAATTTACGGGAGGAAGTTTTCAGAATAAACAAGCCCATGCCCCTATGTGCCCCAGTGCTGCTGCAAAGCTTTTTTTTTGCCCTTTGACATCGCCGACCAGAGTGGTCCGATCAAAATAGTCTGGACGGCTAAGGCTAAGAGTAAAACCACCATGAGTTGGGCGCAGCAGCGGGAACAGATCCGCCGCGCCGCCCAGGCCGGGGTCAGGCCAAGGACCTCGGGGCTGGGTTTCCAACGCGTCTGAAAGAAGAAAAGTCCTAAGAAGTTTTTTTGAAAACGCATTGGACTTTACGATTTCTCGCGTTCTAAAGGGAACTAGACCATAAAGTTGGCATCTTGGCACATCGCGGACTTTACGAAATGCTGCTCTCTAAGGGGAATTCGACCATAAAGTTGGTTTCTTTTCGCATCATCCACCGTAGAATGCTCCGCCTTTCAAAGGGAAAGTCACCATAAATTGGGCCCTTTTCGCATTGTCCGTTTGTTGGCTCGCTGCGGTTTTCAAACGTTTATCGTGTTGGCTGTGCAACGCTACCGTTCCACATGGAATTACACCAGTTTCGTCATTCCTGATCTGGACTCAATCAGGCAATGACCCTCGCGAGACGAACACTTCTTCCCAGTAAGTATGTTGTCGTGCAAAAAGCTTCTGCCCTAGCGGATGCTTCTTCGTTGTCACGGCTTCGATTACGCTCGCTGGCTTGTACAGTTCTGTTTCACCTTTCTGTTTTATTTCTGCCGCGATTACTTGCCCACTGAGGCGCTCGATGCGTCAAAGGGGTTGCTCGCGCAAAAAGAAACAATGAGGCCAGCTCAGCGCGCTTCAAACCCCAAGCCCGAAACCCTAAAGAACCCAACATATGGAGAGCAATGCCTGAAGGGGTGACTGTCGTGATCGAATACGTGTGAGCTGTAGGGCCCGTGTGTTCTTCGATTGTGCCCAAAACGTCTACGGGGTGTACTTGTGCCTCGATGAGGCAGGCTGGCATGCGAGAGAAAGGGCTGATACACCTGTAAAGAAGATCCTAGGGAAAACCTTGAACACTTGAAACTTTTTTGCTCCAATCCCGAGGGGTGCGTACTCCCAGGAGCCGGGACCCGAGCACGGGCGGGGACCGGTAGGGTGTGGGGTTTAGAAAGCTGTAGAGTTTAGGGCAGGGTTAGGTTCGTAGTTTAAGTTCGCTGGGTTTCAGTACGGTTGATAGTTGAGTTTTCGGGCGAAGGCTCTGCTTTGCTGTCTTGAGCTCTAAGCCGTCAAGGGCCTAAGACATTAGGGTTTACTGGGTGGGCGCTTTCTTGTTTAAGATGCTAGAGCTTCCCCAATTTACGTTACCTCACCCCTGCCCAGGCCAGGCTCCCCACCTCTCGCAGTTCTGGGCCTGTCTCCCACGGAAGGCTTGGTCTCCTAAAGTCGGTTTGAATGAAGTATTATGGCTATTACTCTGCGATCAGCGGTTGCTGTCTAGCTTCAGTGTGTATAGATCTCTACTCGCATGTCACTCCGAGGGGATCCTTAGAGTCTCTAAACCGACGAACCCTCCAGTTCCCCTGCCTAGCTCTTTCCCAAACCGCCGGGCCTGAACCCGACGTCCTAAACCCTAAAGGCCCTAAATCCGCAAAGTCGAGAAACTGCAAGCCCCGCTTTCGAAACTCCCCCGGTCCAAGCCCCGAAGCCGAATCCTCACACTGCAAAAGACCCCTTTGCCTCCGTGTGTCATCAAAGGAGCTTCGAGAGCGACCTGTCGGAAGAGTCGGAAGAGCAGGAGGAGACGGAGCCAGAGCCTTTGAGGGTTCCATCGTAGACGGGCTTTGGCTCAGTGGTTTTTGGAATTGACAGACAAAGACTAACCACGGCTCAAGCTTTTGCCACGGGCTTTAAAGGTCTCCAACGGAGCGAGAACGCAGTGTTCTGCTGGCGACTGGCAATGGTGTCTGGTTCGGCGGTGAAGTACATACCTGTGGTGAATATGTTTTGGGACATCTTCTTCAAGGGGACACAGTCGGTCGAGTGTCTCAAGGATTTCCTCAACGTCCAAGCCCTCTTGAGTGCCCTGCTCCTTGGTGTGGCGGTCAGCATCCCAGGCAGCTTCGACCATGACGAGCTGAGAGAAGCCAGCGAACGGCTCTCAAAGTGCCACTATAGCTGGAATGAAGATCCGCTCCATGCTGCTAACTGTTTAACTGTCTCCGACGCGATGTGGGGTGGTGCTCCCTCTTACTCAGCAACAATGTCTTCATGATTGTCCTGATCTACATGTCATTTACAGGTTTAGACCTGCAGGATAAAGATGAAGAGTCTGAGGCGGAGAGCAAGTACACCGACTGGTTCCAATGCGCACGGTGGCTTCTTATTCTGGCGACGGTCTTTCTGGTTGTAGGTGTGGGCTTCTTTGGGTCCGCAGCATTTACAGCCACGATCATGAAGTTTCCCGTTGCCAGAGAGTACGAGCTCTGTGAGGGATCTCTGGAGTGGTACCAGACACCTTTCAGTCACGACAGGGATACTGGGAACGTCATCTGGATTGGGTCCATGGTCTTGACGTTTCTTGTGCTGAGCTTTGCACACTTCAGGCAGCTTCGGATGTCCGAGAGCCCCGAGTACAGGCACCAGATCACCCAGGAACTGAGTGAGAGCGCATTGCGTGCGTGATCATTTCAATGAATCTGAAACATCGCTGCATAATTCGCTCTTTTCGCATAATTCGCTCTTTTCCTGCCTGTACCTAGGACATCAGAATTTTCTGGAGGGAACTCTCGTATAGCGGATACTGTCATGCTAGAATCCTAACGCGAATTAGCCAGGGAGCTGCTGATGATTGGCCAGGCTTCACAGCCACTAGAATACAACAGTATTATTATTATTATTATTGTTATTGTTATTATTATTATTATTATTATTATTATTATTATTATTTTTAATATTATTATTATTGTTATTATGATTATGACTATTATTATTAGTATTATTATTATTATCATTATTATTATTAGTATTATTATTAGTATTATAGCTTTGTTTGGTGCAGGCAGCCCGGGTGCAGGCAGCTACGCAACTCCGTCAGAATGCTTTGAGCTGCGCCGTCCGTAGCCAGGCGAGTGGGAAAATCGCGGATTGTCCTGATGCTGATCTTTGTCTTGTACTTGGCATGGCATGCTCTGCCCCCACTGAAGAATAGCTCGGATATCGGTTTCAGGAGCCTCACCTGCAGAATGGTGCTCTTTCCGGCCGGGAGTCTAAAATCCACTACTTATCAAGGCCTCTACTTAAAGGATCATGGGACTTAGTAACTAGGGTTATACTTAGGGTAACCATACTTATAACCCCAATTAAGGTACTTATAACCTTACTAAGTCCCATGATCCTCCAAGTACACCCTGTCCCTGAGAGCTCCGAGGTGTCGTCCTCCGACTCCGAGTTCGAGGCTTCCCCCGTTTTGGAAATCTCCGACAAAGCAGGGCACTCTATTTTGGGGTCTTTGTGGTAAGGTAACTGTTCGCGTAGGTACCTGAAGCTTAAAGAGCCCGATGGGAACTAGGATTGATTTTGTTCTGCACAGTCATGATTTGGGAAGCTGTCGGTTATTTTGTGAACTTTCAGTGCATGTGTGCTTTTGTGAAGTAGGCGGCGTTGGTGCAAACGGCGGAGTTTCTTAACGGGCAGCATTCTCCAAATCCTCCAAAAGCATGCTACTCGGCCGGACAGGTTTGCAGACAAATGTGAGAACAGGCTGATTGCGACGTAGGGGTTAATTTGACAGCTGCACCATGAAACTGCTCCACAACAGATCCAACGCAGATCCAAGGAGCAGGGGGCATTTAGCGGAGCCACAGTGTGCAGAAAAAGGCCTCACAGGTTGCAACGAGGTACGCTTTGTCTGTTGGACGGAGTGAGGTACAGTAGGTGTCGGATGCTGCCGGGGTGGAAAGGTCTGGTCGGTCTTCCTGCGAGTATGTACTCGAGGGTTGCGAGACCTGCAACTCCGTCTCCACCAAAGAAGCGTCCACTCGGCCTCCCTTGTGCACACAAACCGCTCCACCCCTAGTCCGAAAGCTGCAATCGACGTGTTGGTAGGCGGAGGGCTAGAGTCAACTTGGAACGGGGGCTTCTACGGTGGGGTGCTGCCCGCCTTGGGCGATAGGCCGCGTAGGCCGCCACCGGATATCTTTAGGAGCGATGATCATAGGTTTCAAAGGCTTCATTGGGATGCTATCTGGGATATTTGGGAGCGCGTAGATGGGGCGCCCGTGGGGGTAACCTTCCGAGACGGCTTCCGTGAAAGTGGAGACGCGTGAGTGGCTGCTCCTTTCTGCTGATGGGAAGCAGCACTGGGGTTCCAGGAAGTGGACTACATTCGGTCGACCTCTCCATGAGTGCACCGTCGTCGGAAGCTCTGAGTAATCAGTAATCAGGGCATATCAACCCTGTGGACATATTCTCCACATATTGGGCCATGTGCGTGTCCATGGCTCACTTCAGTCAGCGCGCCAATCTCTCCATCCGAGAAAACATGCAGAAAAGCAGAAGGCGTGGATGAAATATGGATTTCGGCAAGTTTCATGAGCATTCGTTCAATTTGATCCTTGTCTCGGTTGTGGCGCATGTGGTCTACTTGTCCTGTGAGTCCGAGTCTTGCCGTCGCGAGCATGCATATCGTTGGTGATTCGCCGTGTTGTTTAGGCAACGCTCCCTTCGTTGTCTGTTTTGACGTTTCTTGATGCATGCATGCTGTTCAAGGATGTAGATGTGGTTCGACTGCACCGCAGTGCCGTCCCAACTTTCGAAGGGTTTCAATCTTGCCGCCGGCTGCAGCTTGGACTCTCCAGGCCTTGCTGTGTGGTGATGTGTGTTGACAAATTTCTTACATCATCGGCTTCAATAAAGAATCGCTAAAAGTTTACAGAGAAAGGGTTGTGCTCGTGCACGATTGATCTGCCATCTGAGTGCAGAACCAAGTGACTCCCGAAGTGAATGCACGATGTACCGTTATCCATAGTGTAGCATCGATGTATGCAAGACTGTTCCGAGAAAGCTGTGCAGATAGCTTCGAGTGCATTCCCATCTTCATGTTCTACTTCTGGGCAGTTTTCACCTGCAGGTCGGCCGGCAATACCCGAACGGCACCCAAACCACTGCATCCTGAACCCTGAACCCTAAACCTTGCGGCCATCCCAAAAGATACAATCTGATGCTGCGAATTTGCAGGACAGGCACTGAAGCTGAGCGACCTGGTTACGAACAAGAAATGAAGGCAGCTAGCTACTAGTTCTGTATGTTTCCATGTTGCACGTGCATTTGTTTTTTGATGTGATGCTTTTCTTCCCTTCGCAAGTTTATAAATCATCAGTGTTGCACACTAGCCAACACTGTAATGCATGAATGGTTAAACCCACACCAGTCTACTTAGCTCAGGAGGCTCATGGCCAAGCGGCTGAAGACAAGCCTTTTCAGCCATTTCACTGAGCCCCAAAGCCGAAACCCCAAACCCAAAACCCTAAACCGTGCCCTCGTGTGTAAGCCGACCTGCAGGCAGACGTAAAAGTCACTACACATTAAAAAAACCGTGCCCTCCAAACCCAAAATTTACCCTAGCATCCTGGCCGACTGCGACGCTTGGCGCTCCAGGCCATGCGCAACGTAACGTCGGAGCTGCACGTGGCCGAGGTTGCTCTGACGCTTGGCATCTTCCATGAACTGCAAAATCAGAACCATAGCAGAAAGAGTAATAGTCGTATTGAGAATGATAGACCAGTGATAAGTATACTGCTGATAAAAGTCTAAGACAATGTAAATTGTAATGCAAATGCATCTTTTGGATATTGTAAATGACAATGTACTTGATCATGTACCTTTCAAGGTGAATAATACTGTAAATGGTAATGTAACTGATTATTTCGAACAGAGACTGCTGGTGCTAGTATTAGCCATGAAACGAGTGGTATTCGATAACGGTAGTCAGAAGAGTATATAGTGATAACAATGGTAATGTTGGTCGAGATAGAAACGGTGATAGCAAAGGTAAACAGGCAAGGATATTGAGCACGGTCACAAGATTGATAAGAAGAGTACATTGTAGTAACAGTGTTAATCATAGCAACATTTATGCCGTCATATTCGGTGATTGAGTAGCTGTCGCCAGGGGCGTGCGACCCTGTGCCGGCGGGAATTGAACTACACTAATTATCACTAATTAGGAAGCGAGTCACGGAAACAAGTTCGTACACAGATCAACCAGCCTCAAGTAAGAAGCTTAGGGTCGCTTCAGGGATCCACAAAAGTGCGTGTCACTGTCACGAAAGGGATTCTGAAAGCGACCCTAGTTTAGAGAGCTACTCATAAATGCGCAATTGTACGACCTCTTGTAGTTCGTTTGGGATCGAGACTTCTTTGTATCTGTTCTGCAAACTCCTGCACGCTTGGCTCCGAGGGCGACATCGCAAAAGCAACTGGAGGCCTGAGCTGAGGAAGTTCTTCAGACCTTGGGTCACAGCTCCGTTTTGCACATTTTGTTTTTGCACATTTTGTTGAAGCTCGGGATTCAGCTCCTTCCATGGTCTGATCCCTACTTCTCCCCATTGAATGCGCGTGCTTCTTCCGTACAGGTGAAATCTTCGGACTTGATGTCGCTGGTGCAGCAGCGAGACAGAATTCTTGGACCAGTCCTCGCTGCCGAACAGCAGGCGTGCCCAGAGGGCGTCTTAGGGTTTGCTGGGCTTCGGCGGGATCTTCCAGGTTTTGGCTTGTCAGAACCTCGGGTCGAAACACTTCAGCCGCTTTCAGCCAGGATATCGATCGGATCCCGTCCTGGTTAGACTCATCTCGGTTTCACCGCGCATGAGTCTGCAGGACTTGACTGCCAGTCGGAATCGTCGTACTATCCGCAGAACTTCTGCAGATTTGTGTTTGTTCATCGGGCAATACATCCTTTCAGAATGGTCTGCCAAGACGTGTAACGTCCTGGTCCATAAATTCTGATCGAAAACCAAAGCCCAATATCAACCTTAGGATTCAAAGGTCCGGGCTGTAGGGTTTTGCAAGTTGGTTTAAGGTTTATGGTGTTGGCAGTGTCAGCGTCGTTTCCGTGGCGGTTCGACACGATTTGTCCTGAAGCCATGCCTTCACAATTTTCATACTGCTTCTTCAAGCATCGAACCATGGAGGTTGTACCCTGCTGCGAACCCTCGAAAGCCCACGTGTCGTGTTGGTGCTTGTGCTCTTTATGTCATTGCATTGGCATTGATAGTCTCAAGGCTAGTTGTAATGATGCTAGAGACAAAGAGAGCTTTTGTTGTTGCAGGCCTTGGAGGGCAAGGCGCGACTGCTACGGTTTTCCTTGCTCAAGCACGCTGCAACCCGGAAAGCCCTCAATGCAGACACACTAAACCCAACATCTGTAAAGGCCAAAAGCTTGAGTTTTATATAAACCTAATTGTACATCGCTACTTGGGTTCGCGTGCCCAGATTTCGTCAGCCGCTTTCCAGCTTCTTGCTGAGATTTCTTGGTCTCTTAGTTGTCAGCTCTTTGCAAGCCCTGATCAGGTTGCAGTGCTTGAAGCATGTCGTGGTTTCTTTTGGGGGAGTTGGTCCTTCTTTGAGGGAAGTCATGTATTATTGGCTGAGAGCATTGTGGCGTACTCTCAGACATGTCGATGAATCTGCGTTTGCAAGATTTGACACCCGAACAAGACAGCCCTCTTCCTATATAGGATTTCTTTGCGGTTGTCTTGGCTGCTTTCTCATACCCTTCTCTGGAGTTTGAATGCGTCGCGTCTTGTATTGTCTAGGTCAGCCAGAGCCAGCGACTGTTGCGCTGCTTTCGTGAGTGTTCCAGATTTTCTGGATGGTTCAGCTCCACGAGAAACACTCCGAGCCACCGTAACCGACCTTAACCCCAAACCAAAGCAAACTAATCCCGAAAGACCGTCCAAAGCCGAAAGACCGAGACCCTAATCAAGCCGGAACCCTACAAGACAATCCTGAATCCTACACCCGGAACCCTACCTTGACTCTACACTTTATGGTGAAGGTAGGGTTCCGGGACCGGGAAAGCTAAATAAGCTCTGACCTTTTGACTCAGGTGCTTGGGTGTGCTTTGAAATAGAACCTTGACAGAATCCTTATTACCTGTACAGATCTCCGAAGCCCTTACAAAAAAACCCTCTCCGGGAGGTGCGATCCGAGTTCAGGCTTTCCACCGCTGATTGCTTGTGGGCGCCGATCATCTTCGCTGCTTCGGCTCTGATTTCAAGGCTTTTGGGGTTAGGATGTAGTTAGCGAATGTTATCTTTACAGCATGCTCTTTGATGGTCTCGTGAGAAAGCCTCTCCACGAAGTTGCAATTTGATGCCTTCTGTTTCCAGCTCTCATCTGATCGGTTGCGATGTTGGGTTTGCACCCGACGTATCACACCACAGTCTTAACAGATGGTCCCTTGTCGACACTGTCGGCTCGAGGTGCACAGCAGACCTCATGTTGTCGTGCCAGCCCGGAAGCCTAGGTCATGGCGGTCTTGCGCAAGCTTGTGGATAAAGTAAATGAGGCTTCGAGGCTTCTCGTAGAGTTGGATCAGCTGCAGTCAGTGAAGGCACAATTGCAGCTTGTCGTCCAAGCTGGACACGGAGATGAGGTAGCCCAGTCCGGTGAGCCCGGGAACCAGGTGGCAGCCATCCATCACCAGCATGAGGCATCGTCTGACACCAGAGACCTAAGGGCTATGGATCGTAGGGAGCCCGTAAAACACGACCTCACCTCCGGGGTTGCTTCGGGCGAATACGCCGAGACCCTGCCGGATCAAGGATTGCGGCCAGTGCAACAGGAGTTTGCACACACGACATTCTTACTCAAAGAAGCAGAAGCCGCCAAAGAAAAGGTTGTAGGGGAGCTGGCATCCAGAAGTTTTGTTCTGCTTCTCGAGCTTGCCACCACGACTTCCTTGCTGCTGCAAGCGGAAACCGAAAAAACAAAGGTGGCAGGAGAACTGGCAGCCAGAATTGCTGTGCACGAAGAAGCAGAGGCTAAGCACAAGCAGATGAAGGACTCCTTGTTGCTAGCTGAAGCTGAAGCAGCACAGCTGGCAGGAGAACTGAAAGCTAGCGTTGCGGCACACCATAAACAGGCAGTTGAAGCGACTTTCTGGCGTGTTCAAGCAAAAGAAAGCGCAGAAATGGAATATCAGTTGGCAGCCCGGAAAACACGCAGCTGCAAGTAAGCCGACAGCACCATCACAAAGTGCTTTTGTCACAGCTTCCTCCCATCGCATCTCCTATCACGGTGACCAGAGCGTTGGCCGAAGACGACCCGAAGTTTACTGCCCTGAAGGAGATGTTCCAGTCGTCCATGGTGCAACATCGAACGAGCCTTAAATCAAAAGTGTGGTGCGACCCGCCAAAAGTTTCAGTGACTCGAATCTGTGAGCTGTTTCATGCGGACAAGCAGCAGGAGTACGAACAAGCACGACGTACAAGATGTGCCCGAGGCAGTGGTGATTGCACTCCCATTGATGGCATGACCGCCATGAAGTGCGAAGTGCCGCCGTGCTGGTACGACTTGAACGAATACCTGCTGTATCACGGAACGAGCTTTCGGAAGGCAGAAGACATTTTGCAGACGGGCTTCGATCCCCAGCGCGGGGGCGATACGACAGGCTCTTGGTTTGGTAAAGGTACCTACTTCGCTCAGAATGCTTCAAAGTCGGATATGTACACCACATGCGATAAGTGCGATTCCGACAACTTCAAGGACTGTCACCATGCCCAAGGCGAAAGATGCCTGCTCGTGACACGAGTGCTGCTTGGAGAGAGCTCAGTTGAAACGGATGCTAATCCCAGCACGAAGGTGCGTATCAAAGCGCCAGACCAGGACGACGGCGCTCCTTACGATTCTGTCACTGGAGCGTGCAGCGTGAGAGGTGGAGCGCTGGATTATATGGAGTTCGTCGTCTTCAAGGAAAGTCGCATGCACGTGCAGTTCCAGATCTTCTACACACATGATAAAAACTGCGAGTGCAGCAACTGTCGTCGTCGTCGTCACAGGCCATGAAGGCAGTTAGAAGGAAAGACAGGTGGTTTGTGACCAGCGCCTCATCTTCAGCTGAGTAGTCTTTGCTCTCACATTGCATTGCAGCTTGAACACAGGACTGTGTCACAAGACTCTGCCATGCAATGTGAAAAGAGCACCATGCCTCAGTGCAGCTTGCGCTTGACTGCCTTCGGGTTGGGATCCCAGGGTTTAGGATCAGGACTTCGGTTTGAGGGTCTTTTTTTGGGTTTCGGATCGGAAGAAGCAGAGGCAAGACCGGGGTAGAAAGCCGTGTCTGCCTGACTACTTGCTCAGATGTATGCCACGAAAGACTTCGGGGTCTTGTTCAACTGTGTTTGGCAGATGGGCATCCGCAGATACTGTATGAGGTCTCTATCCGTACGCGACTTCACAACAGAAGACCTGCAGGTGTGAATTGCAGTCCGTGCCAGTAAAGCCGACGGGGTTCATTTCAACGTCCGCTTGCGAAAAGATCGAGATCTACAATGCGTATACATGTATACATACATACATACATATATATATATATATATATTGAATGTATACATACATTTTTACACAGAAACATATATACATACATACACACACATACACACACACACACACGCACACACACACACACATATATATATATATATATGTATACAGACACCCACCCACACACACACACACACGCACGACGCACGATGTAGTATTCATACTGCCTGTGGCTGTGGTTTGTTGGCAAAGCTCAGGGAGGCGAGGAGAGGATCCGAGAGCTCCACCAGCTCCTGGTTGAGATCCCTGGCAGACTGTGGGGGGTTTCCGTTCCCCTTAAGGTTCCTTTTAAAGGGTTACTATAAGGGTACTAGAAGGGTTCCTTTAAAGGGCTCTATAAAGGTTTAGGGTTTCCGAAAGTTAGGGGACCTTAGTTTGGGGATCCTGAACTGAGGATCCTGCTATTTAGGCTACCATATTAGGGTCCCCTATTTCTGAAAACTCCCATATGGGTGGTTGCGAAAACTCCAAGACTCTGGTGAGAAGGCTTTGGAGATCTCCTCAAAAATACGTATCTTCCGCTTTAGGGTCGTAACGGATGCTTTGAGATACTATGATGTATGTCAGTACATCGTAGCGCAAGCGGGCAACGGCCACGATCATGTGTTGAGGCAGCTTGCAGAACGGGGGCTTACCTGGCGTTTGTGGATCAGTCCCGTAGAGGTCTACAGCATTCGAAGGGGGGATTCATGAATGCCGCCAGCCGGTCCTCTGCAGCATTGAGCATTTTCGAATCTGAGGAAGCAGCTCGTGCAGAAGGACACCGCCCCGACCTTGCTAGAACATGTTGTTTCAATTTGTTGTTTCGATTTGCCATTTTAGAGAGAGGGCACCTGGTGTAGATCAAGTGGAATATACTTCTAGCATCTGTGAGAGGCTAAAGTCTGGTGCAATTCCTCCCATGAGCTTATGAAGACACCAGTGGGCCCCATCAAGCTCAACAGGACTTGCAGAAGCGGGCCTGTCAGGGAGAGTCGCATGCGAAGAGGGCCACGGCAAAGTTGCTTGGACTGGCCGGTCATCCCTCATCTCCCTGGGGTCCTCAACGAATTGCACATCTTTGAGGAGGTATCCTTTCCGGTGTTGTTCCAGCTTGAGAGAACTGAGTCAGAATCGCAGGGTGTTGAATTTTTTCCCGAAGCTTCCAGCAGCTGCAGCTTCGGACTTTGTTTTCAGGGATGATTGTGATTGGTGCGCAGGCAGCAGGATCTTGGTACCCCGGATATGAAAGGGGTGTTAAGTGCTAGCAGCGCAGCACAGCTGTCGCGCGATCCTGAACCGCAAATACCAAAAGCTACGCCCTAACGAGGCCCGAAGCCCAGAAACTCGGTGTGCTTAGAGACGCGTGGGGTTCCTCTTTGAGGTTGTACGAAAGCTGTGTCTTGCGGCGGAAGTTGGCCAAGGAGGTGCGGAGCTTCAACCAAAGCAGAATCTAGATGGCCATTTGGGCAGATTTTTTACCCTTCATGGTTCCCATGATTATGGGAGACTTTTTGATTTCCCTTTCTGGTTCCTATAGAGGTACCTCCTCATAAATAACTACCACCCAGGAATGCTCGAAGAGGACAAGCGCAGCATCAACGTCGAGTGTCAGGCCAGGCTGGGGGTCTTGCTTCCTTGGAAGAAAAGGCCCAGGCCAGATTTTTATACTTGGTTATACTCGTAAATAAGGACACATACATACGAACTTACATACGGGCATGCATGCACCGATACATAAACGATCCCTGATAGCCACGGGTTGTGCTCGGTTGTGAGAGATCCTTCTAAGCATGGGTTGCTCAGAAATCAGCATCAGTCGAATGAGCAAAGAGGTTTATGGTCAATAGGATTGACAGGGATCGATGACGAAGTTTATGTTTGCACAGCCCACTATTATTGTTTGGATATAAACCTGAGTCAGTGTGCAGGCATTCATGCTCCTCTATGATGTGGTACGGTGGTCAACATGTTGAGGATCTGTCAAGCACAACCCCTCATGCCAAAACACGTGTTTGAAGTCGCAAAGTTTTTGCACAACTTTAACCTGGCGCTGTTTCGTTTGTGGATGAGGGAAAGAATTGCATGGTTACATCGGTCTGGTTCGGTCTGCAGTTTGAAGCCACATGCTTTGAGCCCCAGAGCCGAAGCCCCGAACCCTGAATCAACGGTTCCTACGCCGCGGATCGTCCCCGCATCCGCCTCGAACCAGGAACTCGAAGACCGCTCCCAGAAGCTGCGCGAGGCTGCATGGCCCGGGAATGCAGCAGCAGTAGTTGTAAACCCAGCGGCGAGGGCAGCTTAAGCACTGCAATCATGGGGGGCAAGATGAGCGAGCGTCCTTCAGAGCACGGCGCAGGTGATCTGAATATTTGTGACGATTCGCTGTCCATGCATAGTTTTCGGCTTGGTTCGCATCTTGAAAGCTGATCCTTTGCTGAGGCTGTTGATGACCAGCTGACTCCTCTGTCCGGTCGTATTCAGGAAGCAGAAGCAGCACACTCTGCCGAGGACATTAGTTCTTGGTTCCTCTTGCACTGTCGTCTTTGTGGATAGTTTATATACATGTGTCCGGTTGCTGCTGGTGCTGATATGATGGTTTTTGCCAGCTTCAAAATTGCGACTACTGCTACTGCTTTTACCGTTACTACCAGAATCTAATGCCGCTGCTGTTGTTACTCTGCTTAACGTGTTTTGGACACCGTGCCGTTGTTGTCGTGCGCTTGTATTGGCGCTGTTCTCTTCATTCTCACGCTTATGACCGTTGTTGGTACGATAGGACGATAGGTCCAACATACACTGCTGCTTTATCTTTTGTCCCTTATTATGCTCAGTACCGGTATCAGTTTCACCTGCTGGACGTTCAGTCTGCAACGTAGTCCTATGGGTCTTATTCCTGCTGCCACATACTTATTGCAGTACTTTGTTGGCTATCGTCACCTGGATCATGGTCGGTCGAGTTTGTCTCTTCTATCATCATAATTCGGGTTCTGCTTTTCCCGTTGCAAGAAATGTATCATCAGCTATGCTGTTGCCATCAACTCTTCTGAATTTGCCTTATGGTCGCGGTCAGCATGGTGGTTCTGGCCGTCAATAGTATTGCCTCTACCTGCCGCCGAGGTCACAAAGGCACATACTTGCCTTGGCTGGCCCTGCATGCAAGAACTTCTGGTCGACACTTCGCAAACGGTTCTGCACTCACGAACTTCTGTTTCCAAAGTGCGATGCTGGGCCCCAAGCCCTAAACTCTACAGCAGCCCAAACTGAGACTCAGATCCCAAAGCGGAACATTCGAAACTCAAAGCCGAAGCTCCGAAGCCAATCTTAGAAGCCCTGGTTGACATTTTTGACAGAATCCCCGGGAGTTTCCTTTTATATATCACCCCAATCAAATTCTAGTTATTGAAAATACTCCAAAATCCCCCGCCCGCGCCTATTCTGATTACTAGGGGAAAAACGACTCCAGGAGGCCTGCTGTGAGCTCCAGGCAGCTGAGGTGGCGCGCCTTCGCACGGAGATGATGGTGGCGATGGAGAGTGGTCCCTGGTCTCTTATCGTCTGAGCGAAGCTACATCAAACTACACAGACTCCGAATGTTGATGCTCACTCGGATCACATCCCTCCTCCTTTTTGTGCGCTGGTTATTTTGGGCACCAGGCATGCCTGCGCTCACGAGGTGTGCATGCGCGCTTGCTTCGGAGGGCACAGCTTCCCGAGTCCAGGCCCGTTGTAAGGGACTTGCAAGAGGTTTGCCGAAACTTACCTTTGGTGAGTAGGGGGTGGAAGAATGGTAGCAATAGTAGTTATAATTGTACCCCAATCCTCCATTCCCTACTAACCAAAGGTGAGGAAAGGGGAAAGAAGCATCCACAGCGTGTGGTGCCTGCAGGGCGAACTGCCGTGCGGTCCAGCTGGCAACCCGCATCACGATGGATTGGTGCACCTTGGCTGTGAGGGTGAAGATCTCGGCTTGAGGAACCTAGGAAAGTCGAAGTCTAGCGGTTGTTGGTTCTCGCTTGCAGATTGGGCGGTTTCGGGGGCAATTGTTGTTGCGCCTGAGCGTGAGTGAAGACCCGAAGCATAGGACCCTTTCACGGAGAGCTCTCACGGTATCCCTACATGAGTTTATGTATGTATGTATGTAGGTACGCATGTGGATGGATGGATGGATGGATGGATGGATGGATGGATGGATGGACGGATGCACGGATGGACGGATGGACGGATGGACGGATTGGATGGATGGATGGATGCATGGATGGATGGATGGATGGGCGGATGGATGGATAAATGCATGGTTTTATGGAGGGATGGACGGGTGGATGGACGGGTGGATGGACGGGTGGATGGATGGACGGTTGGATGGATAGACGGATTGACTTATGGAGGGATGGACGGGTGGATGGATGGTCGATGAGATGACATATGTAAAGTTAGCAAATATGTGAAGTACGTAATGTAGGTCATGCATGTCGTTTGTGTCATTTATGCACTGCCTATCTCGTCTCTGCCCGCCCGGCTGTCTGTCTGTAATTTCAAATGATCTGGATGCAAGTACTGGAAATGATGTCAATTCCGAGGCGTGGTCGTCGGAGATGAGAGTGGGGGGGAGGTAGCGGTGGGAGTGCAGGACTTCCTCGAGACGCAGGACCCCGACGGGGTTAGAGCCTTGATCCGGATAGGCCCGAGGCCGTAGACTCCAAACGCTCACCCACCTCTAAGACCAGGGCTCCCCTAAGCCCTAAACTCAAAGCCCGAAGCCCGAAACCGGGTTACCCTAGACCCGAAACCCTTAAACCCTAAACCCTAAACCCTAAGATGTCAGCCCCAAAGCCTCGGCTGTGCACTCCGGGCTCCGGTAAGCCCTCGCCTTCTCTGCAGGAGGCAGCTGCTCTGAAGCAGATCGTGGATCAAGGCTGTGGTTTCGGGATTTGCCTTTTCGGAGTTTGGTTTGGTTGGGGCTTTGGGGTCCCGTTTTGCTGAGTTTTTCGGAGTACCAACTGGAGTCCACATATACACACGCACACACACGTGTATATGTACATATGTATGTATATGTAAATACGCAAAGACATAAATACGCACATCATTCATATACGGATATGGATATACAGTTGAGATGTGGATATAGACATACATGTAGATGTAGATTCTGGACCGAATAAGGGGCACGCGGTTCCCTAATTCGCCTCGCATCATAGTCGCCATCCTCAACAGAGGAACGCCGGATTCAGAGATGCCCCTCAAATAACAGCATGTATCTGCCATAGAGGGCACTTCATCCAGATACTTCATATATATGTATATATATATATGTATATGTATATATATATATATATATGCATCGACACATAAATACATACATACACGAAGGAACTCTACAGGCTCTCAGTCGAACCCTCTAAGGCCTCAAAGCAAAGGGTGTGCCGTGCCGTGCATATAAGGCAGCCCTGGTGAGTCTCCAGGCTTGATCCAGAAGCAGCTGGTTTGGCTCCCGAATCCGGAAGGTGACGAACCTCCGGGGCGGTAGCCTGGCCTGATGCGTTGATCGGTGTTGGGGGATTTAGGGTTCAAAAATCTGCAAAGAGGCCGAACGCATCTGGGACCTTGTTGTCGTTGGTGGACTTCGACACCGGTGTCATTGCCATGATCGTTCTCACAAGGGGTATCAGCACTATTCATATCAATCTCCTTCTGTTCCAAATCAACTGTCGTTGCCGCTTGTAACACTGCAATTGCCGATTGAAAGGCCTCCCTTTACGATGAGAATGGGCAGATCATCATTGCGAGTCTTGTTGTAACCCACCAAACAACTAGCTGACTGACCGACGGATGGACGGACTGACTGACAGACTGACAGACTGACAGACTGACAGACTGACTGACCGAGTGACTAATTGACTAGTTCATTAGCTGGCTAGCCGCCAAACTTCAGATTTCTTTGACTATGCTGGTTATGGTGGTATATGTTGCCACTGGCCTCGCCACGGGCCTTGCCTGCTGATGTTGTGGTCGAGGTTTTGTCTGTGTCGGTGTGACATGCCGTTCCCATGCAAGTGCTTTTTGTCTTGAAGAGTCTTGCGGTTTTTGTGGGCTGTGTCACTGTTTCGGTTCGGGTGATAGAGCCGGCTATTGTGTATATCGCTGATGCCCATGTTCAGTTCAACCATGTAGTGTTGTTGATAATGATGATGATGATGATCATGATGATGAAGAAGATGAAGATGGTGAAGATGATACTAATGACGGTGGTGAGGATCATGATGAGGATTGCGATGATGATAATGTCGGTGATGCTCGTGGTCGCGACAGTGATGGCATAGTATGTAGTGTCTTTTGTCGTTTACCGCTGAGGGCTAGTCGGCAGTCTTTTCGTCAGTGCTGCCTGGAGGTAATTCGTGGCTCAGGACTTCTGCACTCGCTCGTCAAGCTGTCCCCGGGGCTTTCTAGGGTGTGGGGGGGGCAGACTCGGGATGAGGCAGCTGGGGCATGTTGGAGGGAAGCACCCAAGCCTTAAATCCTAAGCCATGAGCACCGGCATCGAGAGCTCTTCCAGAATCTGGAAAGAACCCTGAACAGGAACCTGTTTCAAAATCCGTCTGAAAAGCATTTTCAATCACAGGCACGTGTTCTTGCACCCCTACCTCTGGAGGAAGCTTCAAGGCTCCGGTGATGCTTTGCAGTCCAGTGTCTTCAGGTCATTGCTTGTGGTGGTAGTAATAGTACTAGTAGCAGTAGCAGTAGCAGTAGCAGTAGAAGTAGTAGTAGTGGTGGTGGTGGCGGTGGTGGTGGTAGTGGTGGTGGTGGTGGTGGTGGTAGTGGTAGTGGTAGTGGTAGTGGTAGTGGTAGTGGTAGTGGTAGTGGTAGTAGAAGAAGTAGTAGTAGCAACAATAGTAGTGCTAGCGGTAGTGCTAGCAGTATCTTGGCATTGTCATAAGTTCTAGTACAAGTAGCCTTGTCATTTCGATGCTGCTGTCACTCTGACGTGTGTTGCCTCAGTCTTATGTTCATGTCTATCATCGCTTCAGCACTGATGATGTCGTGTACGGATAACTGTTGTTTTTGTTGATGCGGCGACTGCCACCATCGCAAGCATCACTATGGCCGCCACAATCATCAGCATCATCAGCAGCAGCACCCCCTGCATCATCATCGTCACCATTGCAGCAACACCACAGTTAACGACACTAGCAACCTCAACGGCAGCTCCATTAATCTTCATGAACATGAAAGTACTAGCTGCAGGAGCCTAAAGCCGTCCCTCATCCGGCTTCCTAGATGCTCGAAATCCACAAGAAAACGCGGCATCCCAGAGCTCGATTACATTTACGAAATCCATTTGCTCAGAGATCCACGCCCACCATAGAATACTAAGCCATAAAGCTGAGCCAGGCAATGAGGTGAAGTTTCCGCCGACGAAGCTGAACTTCTTCGAGCTGCTGCGCCTTGAAGCCAACATGTTATGTAGAGATTGAAGCATACCTGGGCCCCGATGCCGGTGCCGATGAGGAGCGGCAGGGGGCAGACACAGGGGAAAGAGCAGCAAGAGGAAGGGGAAGCCACTGCCCTTCTCACCGCGAACCTCCCAGCAGACCCTACCAGGATAGTTTTCTTTTAAACCCTCAACCCTAAATCCCCTGAACTCCGTGGCTGGCTTTGTCGGGGTCGGCTTAGCAGTGCAAGGTGCAGCGGAGATTTGGTAGCTGAGCCTTTCTTAGGCTCTCTGCAGTTTTGGGCCCTTACGGCTTTTCAACAAAAACTATAGGACCGCAGTTTTTTTGTGATTTTTCTTGAGGTTACGGGTTTGGGGTTTAGGGTTGTTCCAGCATGTGTCCTCAGTTTCTGAGGCGATCGTCGCTGGGAGATCCCCAGTTCTCAGATGTGTGGCCCAGCTTGATCTTGGAAGCTCTTCGGTTTCGAGTTCAAGGTATCATGCCCCCTCATGAAGCCGTTTTTTGGTGTTGGTCTTGGTAGTTCAGGGTTTAGGGTTTAAGTTGTGCTACCTCCGAAGCCGGAGAAAGGGGTCTCATAGTCTCATTATCGAAATTGTCCTTTTAACAGGCACGTTCCATGTTAGCTTGTCCGAGTTAAGTGCTAGTCTGAAAGCAACCCCAAACCCTGAACCCTACACCCCTAAACCCTAAACCCAGTTTGTTTTACCCAAAGCTTCGAGAAGCGCAAAGTTGAACCCTGGAGCCAAAAATGGCGAAGCCTAAAACTTACAGTATGGCGTACCCAGAAGCCCCCCCCGCCTCGAGATAGTCCGAGCTTCGGAGATGTCTTGAAGCATTAAGGAGCCATCCTAAGCTGGTGTAGCAGGGTCGCTGGATTTCGGGAGTTCTCGGTTTGGGGTGAGTAATAATAATAATAGTAACAACAATATGAATAATAATAATAGTAATAATAATAATAATAATAATATAATAGCTCACCCACCACTCAGAGGGTACACTGGTACGGGACCTGATTGCAGGTGGGTGGCGAAGCTCTTGCCATTTCACCTTTGTTACAGGAAAGCGGTGGGGAGTGAGTGGGTTCCGGGAGCACACGGGCCGCGATTCGCACTTAGTATCTGCAGAGGGATCTGTAGAGAAGCGTGCTTGCCATTTGGCTCGCGGCTGCGCTCAGCCCGACGCAGAGGGACGTTGTTTGCGTGGCCTAGTACCTCGGAGGGGGACCTTCAAGGGAAGAGCCTGATCGCACGGGTATCCGCGAGGATGGCACGCTGTCTTGCCCTTATGCCGGCTTGCCGGTGGCGGGCCTGCCTAGTTGCTACATCGTGCGATTGTTGGCATGCCCTCTTGCCAAACTGGGCCGTCTTTGCTGACCTCATAACGTTGTTTCTGGGGTTGGGGCGTTCGCCAGCGGGAACTCCAAGTGGAGGGGGCAATGACGCTTGCGGAGCCCCCTGAGAAGCCGGGAGGGAACGGCGCCTTAGGCATGGCTGCTGCGCGCACCACCTCGTGCAGCTAGTCGCTCGCTCACTCACTCACTCACTCACTAATATAATATAGCAATAATAATAATGATTAGAATTAGGGTTTCGAGTTTGGGGTTTCAGGTGCTGTTGAATGCTGCTGTTGCCCAAAAGCCAAGCCGAACTCATCAACCAGAAACTCATAAGCCCATGCATCGTGTGAGGCAAACCTGTCAGCACATGCTCTAGATTAAGATCCCAAAATTGCAGCATGTACCCTTAATATAGCTATTATAGACCCATTATATAGCCCATTATAGGGAAGGGGTTCCCATAGAATCTCTACCCGCTCGCACTTCTTTTTCACTGTCCTGTGGGACTGCCGTCTTCGTTGTTGATTCATAGTTGTCAACGTTTCTTGCGAAGTTGGCCTGTGTGCTTGTTCTTCAGTCTTAGGGCCGCCGATGGCATTGTTCTATCTTTTCTTTTTATTGTCTTTTGGCCATTTATGGCCATCGCCCGGATGCCCGACATTGTCGTTGAACTATTCTGCTTGTTTACGGTTGCTCTTCTTGTGATTCCTTTCCTCTTTCTGCTCGAAGCTCCGGCTGGCACCGAGGTGGCTCGTGCCAGCAGCTCCGCACTTCCACCAGAAAGTCTTGGGCCTGGACCGCATGAGCCTTGGAGTCATATATGTAGCCTTAAGGCAGTCTTCCGATGATGTTCATGGCGGAGACGAGAAAAGTAGCTGGGCAAGGGTTCCCGCCGCCTTGATACCCTGGCACACCCGGAACCAAAGTCCCAGCATAAGTCACACTACTGGTAATGGCGTGCATCGGGGGGAGGGGTTTCCCATCCTCTAGCTCGCGAAACCAAGTCCTGACCCTTACTGATACATGTAAGTGTATGTTGGGCCAAGGAAGGAAGTCGAGGCACCGTTGAGCATCCAAAAGCACCTGAGGCCGTGATTCGGCATAACAGTATGCCGGTTTCCTGTTTTCTAAATTGGTCTTGTAATTTGTTCAGACGGATTCACGCCGTGCACCGAAGTGCCGCGATGTCGAATTAGTAAGTGTTGCGTGACATACAACATCTGCCGGTATTCTACAGGCTAAAGTAATGCTGGAGCCAGCCAGAAGAATACACGCTGTTCTGATACCAAGAGTACTAGCAGCAGCAACGAGCAAAAACAAGGACACGCCTGAATGTGTTCGTATAAATTTGTTTACGTATGTGCATGTTTGAGTATGTACATGTATACTCAGGGGTGAACATACATAGACATGCCTGTATGTGGGTGTGCATGTGGCGCCTACAGCCGCATACGTATGGCACTTGTACACATGTTGTAGCTAGCTATTGTACAGTACTTATGCGGAAGAAATGAATCGTTACATGGACGGAGAGGATCAAATGATGTTTTTTTAGTCTCTGTGTGTGTGCACATTCACAGCATCGTGAATGGACACTTAGGGATTTCGGGTGCATATACCTAGAGTCCCAGCAACGTCAAAGTCCCTTCAAAACCCTGGAAGGCTTTCGCGGCTTCTCAGGGTTCGGGTTTTCGGTGCAGGGTTCAGGGAAGAAGCTGCGCTGTTCGGCTGTCAATACATCATTGCAGTTGAGATGTGCAAGCAGGGTTTCGTCGGGCCCAATTGCGGCAGATTTCTGTTGTTTGGTGCACCAAAGTCTTATTGAAAGGGCAACTGTGGAAGATGTGTGAGTTGAGCATGTCTCAGGGCAGCAAGCATTCGGACACGGAGGATGATCATCGTCTGGAGCCGCATCAGCATGATCCGCTTTGGTAGCATCATCACCGCCATCGGAAGAAACGCCACGCCAGCATCGTCAGCATTGCATGACACTCTTGCCAATGTTTCCAGCAAAATCCAGCGGTGGGGGGAAAGTTTTAATAGCGAACGTCAGGGTGCAACCAGAAGGTCCCCTAGGCGCTCAAGGTCCGCACATGGGGCTAGCAGTAGCCCAGGAAGCTTTTGTAGTGCTCAGCAACCGCCGCAGCGGCAGTGAGTACGTTGAGCTCCCATTGCACAATCCGTTGCTTGAGAGCGACCCAATGGGCTCTCGCAGATCCTGTCTAGCGGCGTTGCACGCACTGACGCGCTGCCTCATCAGCCTGAGCATTAAGCATTCAGGCACGAGCTTCCGAAACACCGTCAGGGGGCAACCAACCATCAACGATCTTATCGTGCGAAGGAACCCAATGGAACCCGACACTAATGCAATTGGTGGGCATTTCACGGAGCATCCGGAGGGCTCGGTGTACCCGTTCTGCAAGCAGCGGCGACTGGCCCACGGAGCCAGCGACAACATCCAAAGCAGCCTTGCAATCACACAGAATGAGAACACGTGCGCAGCGGACTCCATCAAGAATAACAGTACGGAGACTTTGCAAAGTGACAAGGAGGGCTTCAATCTCAGCCCGGAAGGGGGAGCCATCCTCCCCAGGAATGGCCTGAGCAACAACCTGCTGGCCCTCAATCTGGACCGCCCAGGCACCAATGCCATCGCGGGAAGAGCCGTCAGTAGCAATGACAATCTCATCAGTGGCAGTCAGAGCTTGCTTGATGAAGCCACACAAGACCGCAGCTCCATCCTGGGCTTCTGCAATCTGTGGAGCAGCAGGCCAAGGCGGAAGCACACCTGCGAAGAGGCGCTCCTCACACAGCGGTTACTGGGGGGCGCACAATTATTGCGAGCATCAGCAGTACTGGAGCATGTCCACAGCAGATGGCTTCTTGAAGGAAAAAGCAAGCCGCATAGGCAGCGAGCACGGGGGTCCTCACGCTGGACACGATGCAAGAGACCAGCATGGTTGGTCCAAAAGCTGCCACCTGACGCCAGTGCCGCACGTCGTTGGTGAAGCGTGGCACCCGGAGCAAAGAACATTTGCAGGTGGCCGTCAAAGCATCCTACACTACCCCTAGGTACACCAGGCAGAACCAGCCCTTGGGCAAGCTCAGGGTCCTCCTGACGATGCAAAGATTTAACCACCCGACCACAGATTGCAAGGGCACGTTGGCGGTGCACCTCTACCAACCAATCAAAGATCAATTAAAAATTATCGACACCCAGCTCGAAACGGCGCTCAACGCCTGCGGTCGCGAAGCCAGCTCAGACGTCTTCGTTTTTGGACCCTACAGTACACCAGACTCACCGACAAGACCATACGGAGAACCGAATAAGACTGAAACCAGCAATCCCAAACCGCCAAACCCCCAACAAAAATCATGAGCCATGGAAAGGCCCCAGCATTCTTGGCCCGAAGGCTCTACTCTAAGGATCATGGGACTTAGTAACTAGAGTTATAATTAGGGTAACTATACTTATAACCCCAATCAAGGTACTTATAACCTTACTTACTAAGTCCCACGATCCTCCAAGTACTCTAAGGTACCAGCTCGTCGGGTTCCGCTGGTTGGCCACGCTTGCGCGGAATGGCCTCGGAGCCGTGCTGGCCGATGACATGGGACCCTACGACTAAAATACTTAAAGGATCATGGGACTTAGTAACTAAGGTTATAATTAGGGTAACTTACTTATAACCCCAATTAGGGTACTTATAACCTTACTTACTAAGTCCCATGATCCTCCAAGTAGGGTTTCTTGAAAGGGGTCTATAAGGGTTACTAAAAGAAGGGATCTATATGGGATCTATATAGTGGGCCTGAATAATTTGAATAGGACCACCAAAATAGTAGAGGTAAGTCTTAAGGCCGCTTGTGGTGTGCCTTCAGTGTGTCAGTCAGGCTCCCATGTTCCTTAAGCCATGATTGTGCTCGGAACCGTGGAGGCAATGACGGCAGCAGCAGCAAGCAACAGCCGCAGCATCAGGAGCAGCAGGAGCAGGAGGAGGATGCTGGAGTTTGTGTGTCTTGTTTCTAACTTGAGAATGGATGCAGCTTCCGCTCCCTGCACAGATGCAACCTACGTGTATCGGCATCTTGTCCACTGAGATGGCAGGAAGTTGATACTGCAAGCAGAGCCACTTGGCCGATGTAAGTTTTCCGGCTCTTCCGGAGGACTCGGCAAAACCCTCCAATGCATCGCCATGCTCACCTACCTCAAGGCCATGCTCTGATGTCGATCTGAAGCCCTGGTTGCTAAAAAGCCCCATGCGCGTCACCCCGAACCCTAAGCCCTCTCCGAAACCGGGAACCCTAAATATCCTCAACCTCAAGCCCTAGAATCGGCAGCCGCGGGTGTTTCCGCAGTCTCCCTGACAGGAGCAGGACCTGCTCCACGACGAGAGAGGGAACCGACGGCCGGTCGAGGGCTTCTCGGGGCAGTAGATTTTGGTTTCTCTGTGGTGAAGCCCCCATCCATAAATCCTAGTCCCTAAACCCTAAACCCTACACCCCTAAACCCCGAAACCCTTAAACCTAAACGCTAAAGTTGTCTCAACCGATGGACACTGGGGTTCTTCTGTTTGGGAGTTGAGGTCGGAGCTTCGGCATTAGCAGTTCTCGGGTGCATCATTTTTAATCATATTCGGGTCTTAGGGTATTATAGTATCATTATGTTAGGGTATTAGAGTTTCATATTAAGGTCTTAGGGTATGAGGGTATCATATCAGGGTGTTGGGGTATTATTAGGGTTTTGGGTTTAGGGTTCAGGGTCAGAGGGTTTTGGAGGTTCTGGCCGCTGTCTGTGAGAAGCATATCATACTGCTAGCAATACCAGCGCATATGTACCGGGAAGGGAAGCGTCAGATGACATGTATGCATATGTATGCAGCGTGCAAACGGATCGGTTTCAGTTTGGAGGCTGTACTGTTTGGACGACATGTGCGTCGTTTGACCTGAAGACCAGAAGAGCTCTGCCACATGTAAATCGGCACTTGCGCTTGGATTCAGGGTTAGCCCAAGCCCCAAGCCTCAGAAGTTTCGAGCCTGAAAGAGGCCAGCATTGGTTGTGGTGCCTCCGGGACTTCTCCGGAACTGGCAAAGCCCCTTGACTGCAGGAGTGGGAACATGAGACGAGAATGGGAGAGTAGGATCATTGCCGGCAGTGTAGCAGTCGGAATGACCAGATTAGAAGGGCCTCCACAGCATTTAGAACAGGTGCCACAACCGCAACAACCAATCCTCCATGGCCTGTTCGTTCCACCTGACACATGTCTACGCAGACACCTTGAAGGCCTGAACCCCAGGCCTTTTGTAGGTCTCATACCAGTTTCTTTGCCGAGATGAGTTCAAAAAGTGGGCGCCGGAGCTGACCTTCTTTGTCTACCACGGGCTCGGTCGCCAACTGCCCCCTTGCAGAGGCTCACTTCTGTCTTCTTGCTCTTGTTGCAGGCAGTCTTCTTGAAGTCGCTGTCGTTGATCACGCATGACAGTATTGCTAAAGCCCATGACCAAGGTTGCAACTGCATCACCGTGAAGCATGTCGCGTTATAAGCGCACAGCATGGGGCAGCTAGCGCGAGTTGACAGTGCCTCATTGCTTCATGAGTCGGAATGCGGTAACATTGGTAACGTGCTGCAATGTTTTCATCTGCCAGGGTCCGGCTATGATGCGACTTGGTTCAGACCAGTGACACCTACTCTGTCGCGATTGCTTCTCATCAGTGTTGTGTTTCGGCCTCACAGCCGCACACCACCTAGCCCTAGACCCTAGAATGCTAAACTCTCAATGAATACAAGACCGTGCTTCAGATCGCCCTGACAAGCGTAACCATAAAACTCAAAGCCCCGAAATCCTACACCCCTAAACCCCTAAACCGCTAAACCCCTGAACCCTAAACCCCTAAAAAACCTAAACCCTAAACCCCTAAACCCTCCAACAATTTTCAGGTGCTCCTGACGACTTATGAGATGGCGCGCAATGACCAGTGCAAGTTGGCGGATCCTTTCCAGATCTCCTTTTCAGCCATGGCGCCATGGGTCGCAAGAGATCCTAAACCCTGAACCCTAACCCCCGAAACCCTAAACCCAGAATTTCATGCCTGGTGCCTCAACGGGGATTGTAGGGTTGTTTGGTTTTGGGATTTCCGTTCTATGAAGTTCTATGGTCTAAGTGTTGGATTTACGATTTAGGGTGTAGGGTTTATGGTGTTTTGGTTCGTGTCAGGGTGTCTGGAGTCGGCGAGATGGACCCGTCTCAGGTCATTGACGAGGCGCAGAAGATCAAGAACCACGGAGCGCCCGTCGCTCAGCTTGCTCGGGCTGCATAGTCGAAGAAGCGGGGTCAAGAGTTTGCACCTAAACCCTGAACCCTGACCAGGCAAGTGTCGAAGGCAGTGAGCTTGGCAGCATTTCGGAGGGTCGAGTTTCTGGTGGTTGTCGTGATTTGAGTGCTTCTGATAGTAAGTGCTACGGTCGCCACGATGGCTATTGCGCTGGGTTTGATGTGAGCACAACTTCAATTTTGGTCTACGATCGCGCTGATTTGTCTGGCTACTTTGTGTGCTACGGTTTGTTGGCAAATCTTGTGATTTCTTTCAAGAGCCATAGGTCCGTAACTTCATCGTGTCATCACAAGTCGATCGAGCGGATGCACTTCTTGTTACTTGTTCCATGACTGGTTTGTCGTGCTGTTATGCTTTTTGTACTCTCTATAATCTGGTGCTGTTACTTTCTTGCAATTTTCTACTGCCCGGCTGTTGCTCTTGCCAAAGTTGCTACTAATGTTACTATGGTTCTGTGTTTGTTATTGCTACCCCCGTGCTGTTGGTACTGTTCCTACTCCTACTCTGTGATCGTACTATTCCTCTCCCTCGCCTTGCTGCCACGACGATGATGCTTTTTGCTCACTTCTGGCGAGCCTCGTGCCTGAAAAAGCACAAAGCCATGAGGGCTGCTGTCGTCCCGGAGATCTTCCACAAGTCCGAGGTCTACTACAACGAGGACTACTTGTACTCCTGCTGCTGCGACTACTACTACTACTACTACTACTACTACTACTGCTGCCACTACTACTCTGGTCACAACAGCTACTAGCACTACTACCACTCCTGCCACGGCTGCCACGACTGCCACCACCAGCATTACTGCCATTGCTACCACATCGCTACGAGTACTGCCGCTACCAGTACTATTGCTACTATCACTACTTCTAGTCGTACTCCTACCGCTACCTGGCAATGACATCCGTCATGACCTGCACTGAGGTGAAGCGGATCGGCAATGTCATCGGCCATACTCGCATTGCTCTTTCAGGTCCGGTGCTTCTGAGATCCTTTTTGGCTTTGGTTTCATGTTTGGGGTTCAGCGCGGTGCGGTTTGTAGTTTGGCAGTTCAAGCTTTAGCACTCCCTGTGCGGGCAAATTCCAAAGAGCGTCTGAACGTAGTTACGGCATGAAGCTGGCAAAGGACTGTATCATACGGGATTCGGGCCCAATCTAGGTGGTTTGCAGGCGATGTTCAGCGCCACTCAGCTAGCATGTGAAGACCGGCTCGCTTTCTGCCCCCCTGCCAAAGCAGTGAAGTTCATCTCTTATTCCGTTTGCACATAATGCAGCGGATAGTGCCCAGCAGTTCTCCAGTTGTCTGCCTGCATATGACTCTCTGTCCGATGTGAGCACAGTCTTTGTTGGTTTCTCTCCAGGACCGTGCCTGTGTGACCACTCGCGTACTGGGGTGTGTAGTGCTGGAGGGGAAATGGCCCTTTGAGAGTGATGACGAAAGAGGCCTTTGGATTGGTGTCGGACTGCTGGGTGAGGCTTTTAGCACTTTGGCTGGTGCCGGCCAGCATAGTGTTGTCTGGAAAGCAGTCATCAAGAGCAGACAAGAGCTTTCGTAGATGATCCAACCATCATTGCGATATACCCGCGAAGTCAGCCTTGAACAACAACGCCGGAGCAGGTACTCCCATAGAGAACAAGGTTGACGAGCTCCACTCGATCTTCGACTTTGTCAATTACGGGTACTTGGGGTCCCACGCCGCTTTGCTGGATACGAGCACCAAAAAGACTCAGTCTGAAAGCCGGGTTTTGCTGTTGGTCCATGTGACTCTTCGATCTTGCTGCTTGCTTGGTAGCTGGCTTTTGGACATCTCGAGCTCTCAAGCGTGCTTTCCGCTCTTGTAGATACGTTCTTGGGTTGAGATCTCAGAAGCTGGCGTCGATTTGGACAAGAGTAGATCGATGTTGATAGTGTATGCAAGCATGTAAGCTACTTCCTTATTAAGACTCGGGAGATGAAATCAAGTTGCCCATTGCTGAGGACTCTTTCAGGAGGACGTTTTCGATGGTCATCGAAAAAGGCGGCGTGGACAGTCCGGCAAGGTAGAATTGAAATGGTGACATGGGGGCAATGACCAACGTGGCATCACCCCTGAAATAAAGTAAAAGACCTTGCGAACAAAAATGCATCCTGACTTGATAATGAGCATGCCGCATACTCCATGTATCATGCTGGAAATAGGACCCTAAAATTACTCCAAGAGTGCTATAGGACGTCCTAGCGCACCCTAAGACCCCTCCAAGAGCATTCAAAGACCTTGGAGTACACTCCGAACGCTCCGAGAAGCAGCTAGCACCCAGAAGATTTGTCGGAGCAATGATAAGAATCATTCGATAAGAAC